TGACGTTTATAATCAATGTGTAATCTATATATGCCAACTATAAAAATAAATAATAAATTCAGACGGTTATTTGTGTAAAAAATCTATTTTAAGTTGTCTTGGCCCGTGCTAGCACGGGCACATCACCACTACTTTCTTAAATATGAAAAAACCATAATCTTTAAATATTTTATTTATATTTAATTTTTTTGGTGGACTAATTTTCGACAATTGGCATCCTGATGCAATCATGAATATTGTTTTGAAAAAAGATAACTTAATTTATTATGAGTATATCTCAATACAAGCATTACGACTTCAATTAGGGAAGTAAAGGTGAATTCCGGAGTTAGAAGTTTATGGATTCTTATAAGGTAATAATGATTTTAAGTTAAGAAGATTTAGGGCCTGTTTGGCCATAATTTCTTTTTACTTTTTTTCAAAATTTTCATTTTTTTCGGAATCAGTGTCTGGCAATAATATTTTCAAATATCACTTGAAGTTGAATTTCGGAATTTTTCGAAAATTTGAAAAACTCCAAAAATTATTTTTCAAAAGTTTCACTTCAAATTATTCACAAAAATCCGAAAAACTCCAAGTTGTATTTATGTCCAAATACAACTCTAATTTTTAAATACCATTTTCACTTGAATTTCTCTTTTTAATTTTTTCCGTAATTTTACGATTCTTAAGTCCAAACGCCCACTTAGTACAGTAAATAATTCTATATCGAGATTGTTTTTCCTTACAATTTTAACCAAACTATTATTTCTCCATTCCTCTGTGTTCACTAAAATTGGAAAACAGTAAATACAAACCTAATCAAACCCTCTCCTCTTCTCACAGGCAAAAATCGACTTGGAAAGCAAAGAGCGCGTGGTAGGGGTGTGCATTCCATTTATCGATTCGATTTTGACCCTTATCGATAATTACTTATCGATTATCGATTTGTACATATGCTTATCGTTATCGTTTCAATAAGGTTTCGATTTTTTCGATTTCGATTTATCGATTTTTGGGGCTTATCGATTCGGTTATCGATTACACCAATAAGAAAATTTGCGGGATTCCAAGGAAAGTATATCGCTATAAACACGCCTAACTAATATGGACCAAAAGAAGCTAAAATAAGACGAATACCGTTTATAACATAAAAATTTTGTCAACAAGCACATGCAACGAAACTAAAGTAAGGGATCAAATATATGCCACCAAGACTCCAACGGTATAAAAAAAAATACATCATTACGGCTAATTCTATTTTCCATTAATTTGAACTTCATTCCCTTGAGTTTTAAATATGATCATTCCTTAAATGTGGTAGATGAAATAATAGGGTTAGGGACTTAGGGTAAAGGAAAGGGTATTATAGAATAAGGGCAAAAAAAAAATTAAAAAAATTAAATTTTTTTAATTTTTTTTTAGTATTTCTTATCGGTTTATCGATAAACCGAAGAGGACAAAATCGAAATCGATAAATCGATAAACCGATAACAAATAATCGATTCGATTTATCGATAAACCGATTCAAATGCACACTCCTAGCGTGTGGCATGTGTTCTTCATAAATAGTTTATTAACTATGGTTAAAGAAATATTAATTTTAGTTTAATATAATATTCAATCACGGTAAATGTAGCTGGTTTTGAGGTATGCACCGGATTCAAGTAAGTTGTTTTTATACTCTAATATTACTTGTCAGGGTAAAAAGTTTATTGGACCTCCCTCAAATAGATGGATCTGAGATTGATTGTGGAACCGAGCATAGAGAATCTGTGCCCAACTACCGACTCCTCCCGAAATTGCGTTATCGAAGCACCAACATTCCGAACTTGTCTCGATACTGACAGGCCTGAAATCCGAACTGTGGACGGGTTTTTTGGAGTTAGCTCACCCTAGCAGAGGAATTGATGTTTACACTAAACAAATGACTGCATGACATTTGTTCTATGTATAAGTTATTTATTACTTAATCATGGTTAGGTGATATACACCTATACTTTAATACGTGACTTTCATGTTTAAACTGTTTGGTTTGGTGAACACTGGATAGAGCTGTCAATATGGGCGAGGCCGGGCTAGCCCAGCCCAGCCCAGCCTATATGGGCTTTAGCAATTGACGGGATGGGCTGGGCTAGCCCACCATTTTGATGGGCCTTATAACGATCAGCTCACCCCAGCCCTATGTGGGCTACGGGTCCCCACGGGCCGGCCCATCATTTTTTAAAATATAATTTTATATTTTTTCTTCAAGTTATAAACTGAAAAAGATAAATATTTAAAGTTAAAAATATCTTATTGGAAAAATTTCACAAAACTTAATAACTTTTTATACGGTTCTAATATATCACAATAAACACTACAAAAGTAAAAGAAAAGACTATATTTCATTCCTAAAAGTCAAAACTCAAAACAAACTATTCAAGAGAACGCCCATGACACTTATGTGATATCTAACACATCATCTTCATCAAACACATTTGAATCCGCTTGTGAAGGTTGTCTTAACATCTTCACGTTCTTCTACATCTATAATTCGTATGCAATATTAATTAGTTAAATATTAAGAATAATTAAATTTTTAAAATTAATTAATATTTTAAGACTTTGATCTTTTAGTATGATGAGTTTAATAAACTTTAAGCTTGGGACACTCTTCTTGTTATTTTTTGTGTCATATACTTTATATATTTTATATATTTTACATACGTATTTTGTTAGGCCCAAGGGCTGGCCCAACCCAGCCTCAGTCAAGCCTTACGGGCCACTGGCTTACTTGCGCCGGGCTTAAAAGCCTCGTTTTTAAATGAATTTCAAAAATTCTAGCTCAAGCCTGCTAAATCACGGGCTGGGCTGGGCTAGCCCAACGGGCCAAGACCATATTAACAGTTCTAACACTGGATGAAGGTAAGTTCTTACCCTTATCAGGGGCGAATGAGGTGAGTATGCTATGAGTTCAACCGAACCCATCACTTTTGACTCAAATCATATTTATTACTAAACAAGTACAAATAATAATTTTTGAATCCAATAATCACATAGGCCGTGATAGAATCCCCAAATCGAGCCCATAAGTTCATATCCTTGATCTGCATTGTTAGTTGGGAGAAGTACACAAAATATCCGTTCTTAGGACCCCTATTTAAATGAGAAATTTTCACAAACCACTATTGTTTAGTGGTTATTAGCTAGTTATAGCTATCATTTACTAAATTATTTCCTATAGCTATATTTTCAGTTGTTATAGAGTGTATTCGATGTATTTAAGCTACTGTATTCATGAATACAGTAGCAAAACTCGGCGTGAAACAGGGAGTCCAGCTAAGCAACGGCTGTATTCGATTGTATTCGACTGTATTCGCGAGTTGTATTTGTGAATACAGTAACGTAAACTGCGTAAAAAATGGTCTTTTCAATTAACGCGATAGACTCCTAATATAACTCAACTAACTCAATTATAACACGCAGAATCTGTATTTCACATTAAAGAAAAGATTTCCCAGCCGAAAAAGACCACAAAACAGAGCAATCTCTAGATTTTCAATCCCTCCTTTTTCTGTTGCTATCGTTCTGTAGATTTCAAAACATGTACTCATTTTAGATGAATACATGTATTTGGAATACATAACATATTCATAAGTACAACAGTGAAAGCCTTGTAAATACATCTAAATATTACTAAATACATCTAAAAACAAACAATGAAAGTCACTGTAGTAACTATTTTATCAGTAAAATACACATGAATACATGTATTTGAAATACATAACACATTCATAAGTACAACAGTAAAAGTCATCTAAATACATCAAAATATATCCAAATACATCTAAAAACAAACAGTGAAAGTGTTGATTCTTTCGAATTTCTCAAATTGGGCTTGTTTCGATGTGTCATTGCGTATTTTTTTTCTCTTTTCCGCAACTATATTTGCTGTTGAACCTGCAAATACATGTTCAGCTTGAGTGATTCGCAAATCGAAAGATGACCCTTCGAAATTGAGTGCTTTGGTCGGTATACCTCGGATAACCTCCTGTAAGGAGTTGAATCAGCCATTAGAGAAGAAAATCTGAGTTTTCTGTAAAAGGATAACAATGGTGATTGTTTCTACAAAAAAAAAGTACAGATACACAGAATAATACATGTGCCAGCGAAAAACTAACAAGTTTAACACTTACCACAACTTTTTTGGACAAACAATTTTGAAAATTGAGAGAGAGAATGGAGATGAATCAGTTGATAAGGGAGGTTGTATTCGTGGGGAAGATAATGGGTTGGGAGAGGGGTAGTGGAGAGAGAACGTGGGTTTAACAAAATTGTATACAATACCGGTGTTACTGGGAGAGAGAGAATAGAAAGTATGAGAGAGAAAAATATTTTAGAGCGTATTTAATGACTTAACAATAGGAAGTGACCACAAATAGATAAGTTGCTATAAAACCTAAAAGGTTGCTATAGAATATAATGTTATAAGAAGGTATTTATTTATAATAAATAAGGTGTAAAGGTTTGGTACAGGAGGTAAAAATTCCTATTTATTTAAAGCATAACCAAATTTTATACTAACTCTTAAAGTTTAGCTGCCTCCGAATCTAAAATTGAAATCGTGAGTGTGAAATTACAAAATTTAGACAGTCGATCTTAAGTTTTGTATACAGTTCAAAAGCTATGTCAGAACCTAACTTCATATTCAATAGTTTGAAGTTGACCGAAGGCCTAAAGAAGAAAAGAAGCAGTTGCAAATATAAAATTTACCAATACTGACTATACTTTAAATAATTTTTAAAACCTGAATAGTATGTTTTAAATAGGGTGCTGAAAGCTGTTTAATTTGTAAGTTAGTTGTGCGCGCCAACCCTCAGCCCAAACGCCAACGGCGTATGGTTAAAACAGAGGCAAGTAATTGGCGCCACCAGCCAATCCATTAGTTTGAACCTGTCTGTCTATTCATGGTAATTGCCGTGTTTCTTCTCCCGTTGACGTTTACTTGACTTTGCACAGTGAGGAAAGATCACAACAAATAGAAATCTCTCTTGTTAATTAATTCTACATCACATCTTTGCCTACTCTGGAAAGTCGGACTCAAATTTTGGAAGAACCAGAATTCAGCGAAACAACTTTAAGAGCATCAACTGCACATAAATACACTTTTCCTTAAAGAGGTACGTAACTGTTCTAGGTTTATTTACATTTCCTTTTAATTATCTTGAAAACTGGGCTTTTAAGCTAGAAAAATGTGTGTTATGTGGAATTACAGTGTTAATCTTAACCAGAATAATAGAAAAGCTTTTTACATCAGTTAATGGTCTCAGAATGATTTCAAAAATTCTGCATTTTGTTTCTTTGTTATTAGCTTTCATCTTCTTTATATTTAAATTTACTGGGTTGTTTTCAAGCAAAAGGTTGTAAAGGAAAATAAAGACACTTTATACCAAAATCATGCTAAAATGGACAAGTGGACTAAATGAAGTCCAACCGGATTACATTTTGCACAAACAGAATCAGACTTTACAACATTCATGTAGAAGATCAAATAGTCTTACCTGATAAACAATTCAAGCAATTTTCTTGAGTAACGATAACAACAACAAACCCAGTGAAATCCCACAAGTGGGGTCTGGGTAGGGTAGTGTATACGCAGACCTTACTCCTACCTTATGAAGGTAGAGAGGTTGCTTCCGGTAGGCCCTCGGCTCAGGAACAGAAAAGGGAGCAATAAACAAACAATAGAGCAATTATTCTTGAGTGGTTAAAAGATTTTAGGAAGTTTTACGGAAATAGATTGTTGCATCTGTCGTTTGTATATTTTTTCTTTCAGTAACTAGTTTTCTTATAAGACAGACATTAGTTGAGATCTTTATGCCCAAATTAACAAATAGACGTTTGAGTGCTGAAATTCAACTGTCTGAGACACTGTTGAAAATTTTGCATTGATGTTGTAAAGATGGAAACTGATGCAGGCATTCCTGTAGGACCCCAACACAGCGATCGAATATTTGATATAATTGTACCTGGAAAGGGCTGAAGTTTGGCTATCTAACGTGCTCGCATACTGGAGGATTGAGGGATTTGCCTTTGCTTTTGCATTCCTAAGTGTGTTATCATGCCAGAGGATCCGTCCACTGTTGTTTCTCACGTTGCAGCTTCAGGATTCGTCACTGAAATAACTCGACTTATATTTGAAACAATGGATGCTGCGAATTCTGTTGTTGTACAGCAGGAAAATTTCAATAAATTTTCAAATTTCTTGGAGAAAATTGCATTGGTCCTAAAAGAGTTATCGAAGGCTGGAACCAGTAAAATCACTAACTTAAGTCCTGCTTTTGAGGATCTCAAGCTGGAGATAGAATTGATTAAGCAACTAGCTCTGGACTGCAAAAATAGGAACAAAATTTATCTCCTATTGAACTGTCGGAGGATTGTCAAGTTCTTTGAGAGTAGTACGAGGGATATTACTCAGACTTTGTTGCTAATGACTTCGGAACCTCTGAATGTTTTACCAGAAATCGCTGATCAGCTGAAAGATTTATGCAAGAAAATGCTGGATGCTAAGTATGATATCTCTACCAAGGAGGAAGAAGTTTCAGTGAAAATTGAATCAGGAATACAAGAGAGGAATGTTGATAGATCCTATGCAAATGATTTGCTCATTTGTATTGCCAAAGCTGTTGGAATCGCAAACGAGCAATCACAACTGAAGAAAGAATTTGAAGAATTCAAAAGAGAAACTGCAAGTAGTGAACAAGGGAAGAACCTGGCTGAGACATTACGGATGGAAGAGATTATTCTATTACTTGGCAAGGCTGATTTGCTTACAACTGCAGAAGAAAAGCAGACAAATTACTTGACTAAAAGGAACTCTTTGGGTAGGCAACCATTAGAACCTTTGCAATCATTTTATTGTCCGATTACTGGAGATGTCATGGAAGATCCGGTGGAGACTTCTTCCGGGCAGATATTTGAAAGGGCAGCGATTGAGAAGTGGTTAGCAGATGGCAATAAGCTGTGCCCCTTGACCAAAAATCCCTTGAAAAGATCAGATCTCAGGTCCAATAAAATGCTGCGTCAGTCAATTGAAGAATGGAAAAACAGAAACATCATGGTCACGATCGCTTCCATAAAACAGAAAATTCAGACAAACGATGAGGAAGAAGTGCTTCAATCTTTGCAGAAGTTGCTGGAGTTTTGTGTAAGGAGTGAGCTGCAGAGAGAATGGATAGTGATGGAAAATTACATTCCAGTTACTATAGATCTTCTATGTGCAAATAATACTGAAATAAGAAAGTCTGCTTTAATGATACTTTACGCCCTCGCAAAGGATAGTGAAGAAGGCAAGGTAAAGTTTAGTCTACATTTCACAATTATCTGTTCCAAATTCTACATAAGTGGCAGTGAACACGCAACTGGTCCGGTTATTTGTGGATTTGTTCAAATTTTGCTTATCTCTCACACAATTCCCACAGATAAATAATGTTACAAAAAAATATACCTGTTCTGAATGATCTTAAAGCTGTTTTATCTGGTTGTGCTGGCAGGAAAGAATAGGTACAGTAGATAATGCTATTGGATTGGTGGTGCGATCCCTTGCACGCAAGCCTGAAGAAAGCACAATGGCTTTGCAACTGCTTTTGGAGCTATCGAGAAGTAGTATAGTTCGGGACTTGATGGGCAGTGTCCAGGGTTGCATCCTTCTACTTGTTACTTTCATGAATAGTGATGACTCTGTAGTTGCAAAGTATGCAAGTGAGATTTTAAAGAATCTCTCTTTCCTTGATCAGAATGTTACTGAGATGGCAAGATTAAATTACTGTGCACCCTTATTACAACACCTATGTTCAGGTATTTGCTTAACACTATCATACTTAACAGTTGAAACTTATGATATCGTTTTGAGTGATATTTTTCAAGATCCCAAGGTTACTGCATAATTCAGGCTATAATCATTCTTTTTTGTGCTTTTGGATGATAGCTTCTTTTGATCCAAGCCTGAACTTTATTTTAGAACCTGTGCTATTTTAGCTTCTAATTAACCTATAAATAATAAACTATGTTAAGCATTTCGGAACTGTTCTGGAGATCTTAGGATGTCTGCAATTCATTGCAACCACAAGGCATCTAACCGGTCTAGATGAGTAAGCGTATCCATTTTGGAAATTAAGCCAACATAAAGAACTAATGCAAGAAAAATCTAATAAGTTATAAACCAATAAGTTAAATAGGATGGCATGTGGCACAAACCAAGAATGATATCCTGGTCTCAGGTAGACACATAAAGTGACAGATGGCTTATGGTTGGTGAATTTGAAAAGGCAGTTTGTGTTGATGTAATCGTTGCTTGTTTGAATTTGGAACTACCTCCAGAACCCGTAATTTAAAGCTCTACCTAATTATTGGTGCAGGAACTGAAAGTAAGCGTATGTTCATGGCCAAAACCATATCAGAGATTGAGTTGAGCGACCAGATTAAGGTGTGCCTCGTAGAAAAAGGGGCACTGAAGCCACTTCTTGAACTTCTCTCTCATAGCAATACAGAGATGAAAAGTATTGCTGTCAAAGCACTTCAAAACCTTTCAACTGTCACACAAAATGGTCAGCTGATGGTTAAGGAAGGTGTCAGTGACCTGCTATTTAAACTACTATTTTGTCACACCTTGTCAAACGAAATACGGGAACATGTTGCAGCAACAATTATGCAACTTGCCATGTCAACAAATTCGCAAAGATCGGAGGATGTTCAGGTTTCACTGTTGGAGTCTCATGACGATATTTTTAAACTCTTCTCTCTTGTATCATTGACTGGATCTAACGTGCAACAAAGCATTCTTCGTATCTTTCAAGCGATGTGTCAATCTCCTGCAGGTTCTGATATCCGGACTAAACTGAGACAGGCATGTAGATTCTGATAAAGTATCTTCACTATTTTTGCACAAGCTAGCAGAACCGGATATAATTTGTCACACTTACTATAGCTAGTCATCAACCGAGTCATAAACTAGTGGGAAAACACAATTCCCTCTAAAGATATCTGCCTTACTCAAACTGTAAACTGATGATACTCATTAGGAAAGAAATATTGAAGCTTCAGGTTGTGTTATAAGGGAAGAAGATTTGCAATTAACGGACTACCAAAAGCTTAAACATTATATAGCTGTTGGTAGCATTTTGGCTCTGATGCTTTTAGTTTCTCTAAGATTTTGTTGACTGACTTGCCTGTAGGTAAAGAAAATCTCCTTTCGTATTGATTTCCTGAAATGATTTCATGATTTCTCTCCATTTCATCTCCTGTACAATCAACTAATTACACTTCACACTAGTGTCAGCTCTTGAAGTTCATGTAGATAAACACAATTTGATTTCTGACTTTAGCTGTCATTTCAATAATTGTTTCATTGTCAGATTTCCGCAATTAAGGTACTAGTCTATCTATGTGAACTTGATGACCGTAAGGTACGGGCTGATGCGGTGAAACTCTTCTATTTATTGACAAAAGATGGCGATGATGATATTCTCTTAGAGCATGTAAATAGGACCTGCATTGGGAACTTGGTACGGATCATCAGAACTTCGGATAACGAAGAAGAGACTGCTGCTGCGTTGGGAATAATCTACTACCTTCCTCAAGATTGTTCAATGTATCAACACCTTCTTGATGCTGGGGCGCTCGATGTCATCTTAGACTGTTTACGCGGAAGAAATGAACATGCTTTACCAAGAAATGAAGTCGTAGAGAATGCTGCTGGAGCTCTTTGCCGTTTTACTCTTCCAACAAATCCAGAAACACAAAAACAAGTTGCTGAAGCTGGTGTTATTACTCTTCTGGTATCCCTACTAGCGTCTGGAAGTTCCTTGACTAAAAAAAATGCAGCCACTTGTTTAAAGCAGTTATCAGAAAGCTCGTGTATTCTGAGCAAGCCGGCTAGAAAAAATTGGATGTTAAGCTGTTGTATTGCATCACCGACACATGGCTGTCCTGTGCACTTAGGAATTTGCAGTGTTGAATCCACATTTTGCCTTGTAGAGGCTAATGCTCTCAGACCCCTCGCGGAAGTGCTAGACGAACCAGATCCTGCAGCTTCTGAAGCTTCTTTAGATGCAATCTTGACTATAATTGAAGGTGCACAACTGCAGAATGGTTCTAAGCTACTTGCAGAAGCCAATGTCATTGCTCTAATCATAAAATTGTTGGGCTCATCCTCTATCGTTTTACAAGAAAAAGCTCTCAAGGCCTTGGAAAGGATATTTCGAATGATAGAAATGAAGAAAAAGTATGGGATATCAGCGCAGATGCCACTTGTGGAAATCACTCAGAAAGGAAGAAGTGACATGAAATCTTTGGCAGCTAAAGTTCTAGCTCACCTAAATGTACTTCCTGAACAGTCTTCCTTTTTCTAATGCACGCTCAAATATTCGAAAAGCACTATACTCATGAGACGAGTAGATCATCTACACTGAACTATAGCACGTTCATGCCATTTGTTTCTCCGTTTTATATTTTGGAACTGTTTAGTACTCACATATTTTAGAGTGGGGTCTGTCAGATATGAATTCTAGCTTTGCCTTTGTAATGTTTAAGGTTGCCGCTAGGCCTGCTGGCGTGATGTTGTAATAGCAGATCTGGAGATCAAGGGGTGAAATTTTCGTTATCTGTGACAGTTCTACTTAGTTCTTTGATAAATAGTAGTACTAGATCCCTTTTCCTTTCCAAATAAGAACTTCGTTGATGAGCAAAACAGATTTTGGAACCCCCTCACCATTATAAGCAAATACACTATATAAACTGCTAAAAGACAGTCAGGAAGTCAAACTCCGAAAACAAGATCAGGCATAAAACCAAATGAATGAACAGCTAATGTTTACTCCTGACAGCTAGCTGTTATGTCTTATATAAAGAGAATGAAGATGTATTTGTATCTGTGGCTGTCATTCTTTATCCTCTGTGAGTTTGAATCACAAAAAGTTAGAGCAGTGCAATCAAAGGACTAGATGTACATCACAAGGAACTCTGTCTTAATAGGATTCCAACTCCTCATCACCTGCTAACTGTTTAGAAAAGGGAACATGATTCTGAATCAACATGTGAGAGAATTTATATTGAATCATGCCATCGAATAGGGGAATACCTCGAGTCTCATGTAAGACAACTAACTGCACCTCGAGAATCAAGATGCTGCTGAGGAACTGTGGGACGTTATTAGGCACAGGATAGGTAATGCAGACATATAGCTATCCTATTCTTTTGGGGAAAATCAACGCTCCGGAGCAAATTCAAGCAACTAAACAATGCCATATATGTAGCAGCAAACACCATGAAAGAATTGTCAATTGCTTGAGCATGAAACCATGAGTGAAATTTTCACGCCTGTAGAGTTATATAGTGAAATTTTGACGCCTGTATTTGCTATTACAGAATCCGGTGTCTGAACCAGTAGATAGAAATATCATTTTGAAGAGTAAAAACAATTGTGAACGTGAGATATACTTTCACGAAGATTAACTTAGTGATTTTCTGTTCCAATCCGATGATAAACAAAATTGATAATCTAATTCCAATGCAGCACCAGCTTTTTTCCATAAATTGAGTAAGATTTGCTATTTTAGACTTTTTGTTACTCCCGTTAAAAAGCTACTAGAATAAAGTTAAACAGACAGCGACTTAAGTTACAGAAACAGGAAGATCATAGAAGATTGAATATTTGTAGGTATAAACATATATTGAAGGGAGCTTCACGTCCAAATACCAAACAGAAGAAAAAAGTAATACTCCTACACACCGAAAACTGCTGTTTGTCATAATATAACCTAAAAACAGTTGGAATCTCAAAGAACACCTAAATTAATAAGTGCATGTTCGTGACCAAGATTATGTACAGGATGTTGAAAACACTGAAGGCTTGATGGTAAAAAGATAATTAAAATATGGCAGGACATCCTTTAGCAGAAATGCCTGGAGCCGTAGGACAAGCAGCAAGCGGACATCCATCTGTGTTGTTTCCCCACCAGTCGATATTGATATCTTTGGATTGTATAGCAAGGAACAACAAGATGGCGATAAAAGCAGTTCCAGCATCCAGGCCACCAGACAAAACGTAGTTGTAACGTTCCCACAAGTGAGGCCAGCGTCTATAAACAACATAACCAGAGAGGAACGCTAAAATTAGCCAGCTCGTGTAGTTGACAGAGCTTGCTGGAGGCATCATTGCTGTTGCGCCCAATAAGACAGGCATATGTATGTGGGAAATCCACTTTTGCTTAGGGAAAGCTTTGTGCGCCAACCAAACTAGTACAGGGGCAATGGCTCCTCCAAGAAAGAACCAATTCACATTAGGGTAAACACCAAGCGGTCCGAATATTCTCAATGGCGCAATGAGCCCCCATATAACAGACGCGTCATAGAATACACGGTCCATTGGACACTGCCACGGGCTGTTGTCTGGTAACACAGAGATGTCACAGAGATTTGGTATCGTATCCATGAGCCACCAAGCAGTAATGGTGTATATAATTATCGATATGAATGTGCCCAGCATCTGAAAAACCAAACAATCTTAGCATTCAGAAAATAACCATAGGGATATTAGTCTTAACTACATCAAGAACTAATACTAACCTGAGCCATAAACATTGCCCTGGGAGGAATTTTCATGTAGTGACCAAGCTTGAAATCATAGACAAAACTAAGAGCTTGGGACATACTTATGTACCCATACACCTTGAATAACATGTTAGCCACAGGGCGGCCGGGGTATAGATACCCGATAATATATTCTGTGATGACATTAAGACCTGGTTGCTGATTCAACCAAAAGAAAAACAAATAAGGCCAAATTGACAACAACACAACAAATAAAGGAGATTCAGTTTTGGGGACATTGTATTAATTACCTGGTTTGTAGTGGCTGAAATTATTCCTATGGGTAGAGTGAAACCCAGTGCTATAGCAAAAGCTAGCAAGATACCCCACCAAGGCAATTGAAATGTTTCAAGATAATGCTGACAAGTAAAGAAGATTAATACCATATTTGCTACAAGAACAACATGGAACCACCACATAGGGACCTGCTTGTAACTTTTCATTAACCTTGTGTGCACATCTGGTTTTTGTTTTAACGCTTCTCTGGATCGATTCCACATTTCTCTGCAAAGACTAATATTTTAGACACTCTTCAAGATTTGAAATCAAGATGACGTAGGATTCTTGAGACATTTCAATAGATAACATTATCACTATAGTAAAATTATAAGGGGGTGTTTGGTTTATAGTCTATATATAAAGATTATAATGTAGATATGCGGAGTTTAATATCTGAAATCAAACAATGTAATTGTTATATTTCAATCACTTTTAAGGGCTCTAGCATTCAATAATCCAAGAATAGTCAGAGCTGATACATACCTTCCATGGAAGAGAAAAACGTGGACGAGAGTAGCAGTAAGACCAGCAAATCCAAGACCATATGTCATGGCAAAGAAAGTGCTCAAATGCAACTGACCATATTGATTATAGGCAGCTATATCAAGCTGAAAGTGGGAATTAATGACTCCCTCGGTATTGTATTTCGTCCCATTTAGCGTGAAGAGGCTGGAAGAAAATATAGGGAAATTCTTGGCGTTGTAAACGTTGAACCAGTAAGTGAGTGGAGTCATCAAATACATTACAAGTACAAAACCAGCTGCAACATTAGCAGTGGCAAACCATGGACTTGCTAGAGGACTTCCAAGGTATGATGAAATCGTCGTCCAATCAAATCCAAAAGCCCCAATGCCAAGCCCGCGCATGCCAGAACCCAATTGTTGAACCAAAATAGATTTGGGAGCCAGCCAACAGATCCAAGAAAATGAGGATAACATCTGGAAAAGATAACCAGGAAATATGTAGTATGCAAAGCTGAAAACTAAGGCTATGAGGAAGAACTGTATCCGAGTTGTACCACCCTTTGGTCTAGTCTCCTTTTCATGCAAAGCCCTGCACAATTATACAACGGTATAACTAATGAGTTTAACTTCTATATACAACATTTACTGGTAATAACCTGAACTAAATGGTAAAGTAATATATATGCTATAACATGTTAAATTACACCGATATAAATCATATGCATATACCTGAATAAGGAGACCTGAACCAAACTGCCTGGCCACCACATCTCTGCTGGCTCAACCAAATGCTTCCGGAAAATACCAGCCCAACCAAAACCTAACATCTGCCATTAATTTGAAGATAACATTAAATAAACAAACAAATAACTAGGAGCAATAGAAAGAAAAAGAAAAGGTAGAAGAATGTAGGTTTAGTCAACTTATGATAATTAACTCGTAATATATTTTAGACCACCCACAGAATTAACATGCTCAAATACCTAAACAACCAGTAATTATAATTATTACTTGTATAGATCAAATAACCAACAATTACAAATTTTTAAATAGTACCAATAAAAGACATGTTATTGGAGGTAGATCTAGGATAAAGCTTGATCGGTTCAATCTTTAAAGTTCTTAGCATAAAAAAATTATACTTTTGAAATATGGGATCAGAATTTAGGGCCCGTTGGGCCATAAAAAAAATTCACCTTTTTCGGAATTCTTTTTCACTTTTTTCTAGAATCACTCTTTGGCGAGCTCCAAAAAGCTACTTTTCACAATTTTCAATCCAAATCCATAAATATTCAAAAACAACTCCAAGTTGTGTTCATGTCCCAAACATAACTCCAACACTATTTTCAACTTGAAAACAATCACTTTTTTCCGGAATTTCACATTTCTTATGTCCAAACGCCCACTTAATATATATATATATATATATGTGTGTGTGACAAAAAACTATGTCCAATTGAATCCATTAAAAAAAGGTTAGTAAAAAGAGTTAGTTACCTGAGTTGTGGCCATGATAAGCAATGCAGGAAAAAAACTAAGTGGTCTCTTGTAGTAAAGCTTAACAGCACTCAAAATATGAGTAGCATAAACACTACCAGCACCAGCATTTGCAAAAATCGTAATCAAAACATGCTCTTTTATATTAAATGGCCCTGGATTTAGCGTAAACTCCCAACGCGTACCCTCAAAAAACAACCTCTTCGTTATAGTTTTCGCCATGAGATGACCTATAGGGACAACAGCAATCTGAACAGCCGTTGACGAAATCGTCAACGGCTCAGTTCTGTACCAAAAAAACTGATTTACAAAAGATAGCAAAACGCAAGAAGTGATTCCAAGAAACCACATTCTGAATGTAAGTACAGGAGTAGTTGGATCATCAGTTTTTGGAACAGTCATATCAACTTCTTTTATGGGGCACAGATCTTCATCAGCCTCATTGGCCGCCGCCATATTCACTGGTAATTCTGCCATTGAATATGGTTTCGGCACTGACTCCTTTGCTCTAAAACCCTTGAACAGAAATAGCTAGGAAAGAATTAGGAGTAGTATTTATCATTGATGAGTTGTATATTACTAGAAATTTTTGTCAAATAAATAGGATATAATGTTTTATTCCTAGTATAATACGTATTTGGTAAAATAATACGGCCTGGTACAGAATCCTAACTGAATATCAAGAAGATAGAAACTGACTATAAATAGGTCTTTTAGGAGATTCTGTGGGATTTTTTAAGAAAATCTACGATCTATGCTCTAAGAAAGGTACGTGTCTCAGTAGGGTAAGGTAACTGAAGCAATTCCTTTTTTGTTTAGGATTATGAAGATGGAGTAGTTATTTAAGGTATAAAATAATCGATTAGAATAATGAATATATCCTTAAAATTATACGTCATCCAGTTATGATTTTGATCTTTTTACAACTGTCAAAGAAAATTACTCACAATTCCGTTTCATTAGCGTGAAATATTTCAAGACAAAAAAAAAAAAAAAAATTACCAGGTCGCCGATAAAACGTTGCTTTAGTAATTTAAGGTATTAGCTATTCTCATAAGACTATTCAATTAGTTTCTCACTTGTCCATTTATTTCTCTTTATTCGATAGTTTACATTTTTTAATAACCTGCCATTTTTCCTTTCAATTTCCGTCGAATTCTAGCTGTGTATTGTCATTACATCACAAAGACCAAGCTATAGATTTTGGTTCGCAATCCTTTTGACCGAACAGATTAACCCTGTGATTAGATTAAGTTTGATTAACTTTCGTTCACTGTCACATTGATCGAACAGATTAACTTTGTGATTGGATCAGAAGGCATAATTTTAACACCATCATTTTGTTAATTCCCTATGCTTATATTCCAGGGATAAATTTTCCTTCAAAATATCAAAATCACACTTTCTCGTAACACCGAGGATGTCGTGCAATTCTCCACCTCTATTAGTCGGACAATGAATTTCAATTACTAGACGACACGAAAAGCTTTTTCTTTTTCTTTTTCTTTTTCTTTTTCTTTTTCTTTTTCTTGCTGCATGTTTGAGTGAAATTTTCAATTTTTTTCTATGCTTCTTGCCGTCCATGTGCCTACTTGTTTTTGCATCGCCAGTTGGAAAAGCCCCCTCCCCATCGCCAATAAATAAGAAAAACATTTCATCTCCTAAATATGCTTTGAATAATTACAGATTTACCATTAATTAATTAACAGTAAAGACTAGTTTTATGGGTTTAAACTAGGGGTGTCAATGGTTCGGTTCGGGCCGGTTATTTTATAAAAGGAATTTTTACCTCCTATAGCAAAGGTTAACACCTTATTTATTTTAAATAAATACCATTTAAAAAATTATATTCCATAGATACCTTTTAAGGTTTATAGCAAAAAATTTAATTTTGGTTACCTCCTAGCCCTAAGTCACTAAATACGCTAATCAGTTACAATATTTTCTTTCTCTCTCTACTTCGATACATCCCATTCTCTTCCCACATCCCATTAAAATTTCCGATTCTCTTCATCTTCTCTGTCTAGTTCGCTTGCGATTTCTCCTCCGTCGATATCCTCCATTGTAGTAGGAGAATTGTTAGCAAGAAGTCGATATCCTCCATTAATTGATTCCTTCTCTACTATGGATCAAGAAGTTGTCTTGCGGCAGCGTTGTTAGCAAGAAGTCGATATCCTCCATTAATTGATTCCTTCTCTGCTACGGATCAAGAAGTTGTCTTGCGGCAGCGTATTCCATGCCCGCAAACATCAGCGTTATTGTTGGAATTCTAATGGGGACTGTGTAGCAAGTGTCAAATCCGCCAAGGCTTGTCACTGTCGTTTTCCTTCCCAGTCTCCTCCTAAACTCGTTCCTCACTGTTGTATAAGCTGGCTCCACTAGCCTCGTGAATACCGTCCCTGCCAATTGAAAAAATTGAGATATGGATGTTGTAGGATGATTTTCTGTTAATATATGTCAATGTATTTTCATGTATTTCATTGTATTCGTTGTCTTTTTTTTCATTGTAATTCAATGTATCTCGTTGTATTCCATGTATTTCATTGTATTCTCTTTTTTTTTTTTTTCATATTGTATTTCAATGTATCCCACTGTATTCTATGTATTTCATTGTATTCACTGTCTCGCTATATGCCATGAATGTATTCATAAGTTTTTTTTAATTAATATAATTTATGTATTCAGATGTATTATATAATTTCTCTGAAGATTGCTATGTTTTGGGGTATTTTTCGGTTGAGAATCTTTTTTATAACTGAAAATACAAAATTTGTGTGTTATAATTGAGTTTGTTGAGTTATATTAGGAGTCTATTATGTTAATTGATTCACTTTCCCTTTTAAAAATAGTGTAATCCCCTATTTCACGCCGTGGATAGCTGTAATCCATGTTTCACTCCATGAATACAGTCGAATACACTCGAATACAACAATTGATTAGCTGGACTTCCCTGATTCACGCCTATTTTTGCTACTGTATTCATGAATAGAATAGCTTAAATACATCTTATAACCACATAAAAGGTATCTATAATCCGTAATATAGCAAATGATATCTATAGATGACTAATTACTACTAAAAGATAGTGCTTTATGAAAATTTTCCTTTATAAAATTTGTACCATACCAATTTTTCGGTTATTCTTTTATGTATAACAAAAATTAGACTTTTAAAAACCGTACCAATCATGTCAGCTTTTCTTCAGTATCGGTACAGTTCGGTTAATTTTCGGTATTTTTTTAAATGTCACGTAAAAGTCACTAGTAGAAGCAGAATACAACAACATACGCACTTTTATAAGACTTAGCAAAACTCTCTAGACATTTTTACTGTTTAAAGGGTGATGAATTAAGAAAATATAAAAGATAGGCAAAGTATAAATCCATCAACTATTCTACAACAACGTAAAAGAAACTAAGCAAATATAAAATATAAATCACACTAGTGGAATGATATTAAGTAAATTGGGACTCAAGAATAAAGTCTATAGAAGATTAAATATTCGAAAATATAAATATAAATCGTACGAAAGAAAAGATATTTAATACATTGTAGTTTGCTACTCATAATCGCTATAATACCTTGTGTCTTGCTAGTGAATATGCTGAAAATAATTTAGTTTCAACAGTAGTTTTAATGTTTTATTATTTTTAAACTTAATAAATAAATATATTTTTTCTGTAAATTTATTCGATACGGTTCGGTATTTTTTCGATTTATTTTCATAAAATAAAAAACCTACCCTAATTAACGGTACGGTTATAGATTTATATAAAAACCTACGATTTTATTAAAAGAAACCTAAAAATGATTCAGTACGGTACAGTTCAGTTGGTTTAGTCGATTTTTAAATATTCATTGACACCCCTAGTTTAAACTTCCCTTGTTTTTTTCCTTCTTCTCATCTATCTGTTTTAAATGGAGCGTAATAGATAGTAGGATATTCATATGGCTAACGGTAACTAACTTAGAATTGAAGTAGAGTTTTTGTTACTGTTATTTCTTTTTCTTTTGAAGAGAATCAATGGTATATGTTGAAACCATCAAGGCTGTAAAATAGACAATTAATATTCCAGGTCTCATTATTCCATTTGATGAACTACATGCAGAAAGCAAATCAGTGCCAAGACCATGTAGAATATGTTTCTGGGCCTTGTGGCCATCGAATTTGTCTGCCGTGGACTGCAAAACCTAACAACGTAATACTATGTTCTCCAGCATATTAATTTTCCTTTTATCAAATGTTCCTTCACAGTGTCTCGCTCTTGGTTTTAAAGCAAAAATACACGAGAATGTCAAACTTCTGAAAACAAGTTAGAGATTATATAAAAACACAAGGATACATCTACTGTTTTCAACATGATTAAGTGTAAATTGGTGACAAGACAATATGATGCTTTGAACCATCAAGGAGCATTGTGTCACAATCCATACAGACATATGACACAACTTGGCAGCCTCCGCTCTATAACTGTGAACACACAGATCCAGCATCACCTAATATAAATTAGACTATAAACTAAGAAATGGTACCAATTTCCGTCTGCAAATTTTTGAAGAGCACAAATATGCAACAAATGAAGAGACTAAACAATTGTTGAAGACCAGGGCAGAGATAAACAATTGTTCAACATTGGGGCAAAGATGGTTGTAGTATACGCATTGATGACAATTCAAGATTGAAAAAGTCAAGATCCCTCGTTTTCACAGTCATAAACCTACTACGAAATCGCATAACATGAGCAAAAAATATGACCAAAACCAAGAACAAACTATGCCAAGGGAAAGTGCAGACAAGCTAACACAGAAATTACCAAATGGAAGGAGATTTTTTTCCCTTAATCCTGCGAATTTCTTCCATTACCTAAATGGCTAAATCCCAGAATATCAAGCATCCAATATCGACACACAACACTAAGCATTTCTGCGTCAAACAAATTAGAAATCAATAGCTCATCAAATAGAACCCTGAAATGGGCTAATGGCTATGTCATAATAAGTTGTTTAGCAAATCTGAAGATGAATTTGAACAATTTACCACATGATCAAACAAGCAACTCTAAAAATTAGTAGGCAGCACCTCCCATTTATCATTACAACAGTATGGTAACATCCTAACCGCCAGATAAAACAATCATCTTCATCTATCAGGAGATGATTTATAACAAAACCCGTCCTCAGCAAAGGCCGACACCAACATTAACGCGGAAAGGGAAGCTAAATATTAATATCCAACTACCATTTCTTCCCATGCAAATAGAAAAGGCCGGTCCTAATGAAACCCTTTCAGAGAGAGGTGTAGTACACAAAACTGCAAAAGCTGGCGTAACATCTAAGTACGTAGTCTCCAAAGTCAAGTTGGTCCTACACAGTAAGGGTCGTTCCACAATTTAGCTGGATCAATGATTTTGTAGCGTAGCCTTTCATCATTAGTAATAGAGGGTCAAGTGCACAGAAGTCAAGTGTATCACCTGTAAAGACGCATAATTTAACGTCTTGTGCGATGCCCACCACCTGGCCTAGCACCAGGATTGCGAGCATATTGAAGCCTTAAGTTGACCGAATCACGGTCATGATCGTCGAATTTATAACCTGCGAGATTGAGATTTACTATCTGACACAGCACACATCATTGACGAATTAGGTACAGACGCACAAACATGTGATTTAGAGTTCAATGTCCCAAAATTGGCAGAGGATCACTTTCTAATTAAAATTAACGCAGGCAACCAAGTACCAACCCATGAAATTTGCAACTGGAACTCACCAGATCATGCAACTCAAACCCTGGCAAAGCACAGATAGTACCTTGTGCAAATCGTTTTTACCTTTATGGAAGTCCAACTACTAGAAAAAAATGTTAACATGCAAGTCACTCAAATAAACAAGTGAAGAAACTACAGAAAAGGTGAATAACTTGACCAATCTCTGCTTGTTTTGAGGCCAGAAAATGTGGAGACCTAATTTCTTTAATGGAGCCTAGTATATGACAACGGCAACCATCAGACACAATGTATCAGATGGCTTTTTTTGACAGGTGATCCAGATCCAGTCTCCGCTAAAATTTGTATTTTTCTTTATACAGTAAAGATTTCATTAAAGGGCATCCTTGGCTCTGAAATAAAGTTAGAGCCCACAAAATACAAAAATAGAATTATATCATTTACATCACAAAAACCAACCAAACAATTTTGATGTCCCCGTTAAAATTTGTAGGTCGAGTCTTGAGATGCAGCTGGAGGCTAAAAGTGGACAAACCGCATAAACAATTCTGAAGCCCTTTTTTCTTGGATAAGCAAAAGTCACTTTTTAATTGTTGTAGCCTTTATTTTTACAGCCATCTTTACAGGTTTCCCAAAAAGAGGGAAGGATATAGAAAACTGCATATACTTTAAGCCTACAACGAAATCAGCCACAAGATTAATGTACCAATAGCAGGTGTGGAAAGCTCACCTTGTAAGGCATCCATTGCAGTAGCTGCATGGGCTGGACTCACAAAATCAACAAAGCAAAGAACCAACGGATGGCCTCCTGGCTACATAAGTTGATGGGACAGAATTCCTAAGAAAACATATAATAGAACTTCGACTAGGAAGAAATATATAGGTATGTTCTTACATGTCGTGAGTCTTTGATCACAAGTCTAACTTCTCTGTAACCTACAAATGGTCGAAATATATCTGCAAACTGAAGTTAAGGAAAGAAACGGCAAGAAAAGTAGTTAAATGGAGAAGCAGATTACAGAAGGATACGTGACATCTCTCTTCGGGTGCAATTAGCTGGCAACCCTTCAACAAACAGTGTACTGCTAGCATTAGGAGGAAGAGGAATTTCTGGTCTAAAACCTCCCATCCCAATGGTCCTGCTTTTAGCAGCAACTGCTTCTGATCCCATGATACCCATAACACGCGGATCATCAATAGGATGACTGGTTACTCCATTACCCATGGATCTCGCAGATTCACCACCAGCATAGGAGGAAGTTTGCTGATAAATTCTTTAACAATATGTTAGACTAACACATAGTCAAGGAAGCAAGCATAAAAAGAAATAAACACGCAAAGAGGTAAATATTAAGTACCCCACTTCGCAAGTATTGTTCATAGGATGCCTCAATAGGATCCGTATCCCTAATGGCATGTTGTGTTCCTTGTTCACCATTGCGGCCATAATAACCAGGCATCTCAGGACGACTTGAAACATCTATGAATTGACAACATAAAATGATAGTATTCCTTCTTGAAAAGAGATAATTGGCAATAACTCAGATAACACTCATAGTTTTGCTAGTAGAAGACACATACAAAGAAACTAGAGAGTGGTAACCTAGATAAGGCAAGATGATGTTCAAACATTGTCAGCATCAACAACAGAGAACAGAATGAAAGCCAAGTCTGCTACTTAGAGAAGATTTTTGTCCAATTCTCCTCTAAATAAAAAAACAAAAAAAATGCTCAAGGTTTAATAAACTGCTGACACTATTTTTCCGGCGACCATCCAATTTAGGCCGACAAATAACAAAAGATCACATTGTTTACTTGCTCCTCTAACTTCTACGAAAGACATCCTTAAAGAAGCATTTTTTCAATTGCTATCCTAATATTTCCCCTTAAAGCACAAAAACAAATCCTCAAAAATAAGTTTTTGACTGAGTAAAAGGAAAAACCCTAGCTTTTGTCAATTCCGAAGAGAACAACGGAGTAAAATAAGTTGACAAAATTTAATCAGTTCAAAGATTTTGAAGAGATAGGGAGTAGAAGTAGGTACCATACTCGGTCCGAGGGCGTTTTCCGGCGACCGGAGGAAGAGAAGCCGGCTGTATCCGGCCGTCGGTGACCCTCCAATAAGAATCCGCCATGTCACTCTGACAATAGTTAATTACCCAACACCGAACTGCTTTAAGATCGAAGTAAAAACCCAATGTTAAAGTAGAGTAGTTCTTAGATCCGTCAAGTATCTTTTGTATTGTCCTACGTCTGACAAAACAACGTACGAACCGAAAGAGGATTATGTCTTTTTTATCTGGGTTACTGTAGTACTTCATTTTTACGATATTTTTATAATTTATTATTGTCCACATAAATAAACCAAATTATTATTCTTAATTAGTATTAGCCCCAACATTAGTTATAAATAATTGTTAAGCCCTTGGGATTTTTTTTTCACCCTTGGGATTTACTCAGTGTAAATGTTGTAACTTGTAAATTCAACCATGTCCCAAAAAAGAAAATCAAAATTGTTATTTTCTTGTTCTATATTACTACTTCTTGCTAATGTGATGATGTTCCACTCATGTAAATATTTTTGATTCCTTAAAATAAAAGCTCAAGGCACGTCCGCTTCAAAGTTCTTACTCAAATGTTGATTTAAGTTCAATTTCTTTCTTTTAAGTCATACTAGATTTAGGGTACGCGCGATGTGCGTATTTTCCATCTCAATGAGTAATTTTTGTAAGAAAATATATTTTTAAAAATTATATTTAAATTATAAAATAAATTAAAAACTTCTGAAATTGATGAATATTGATCATATATAGCTAACTCAATAAAGCGATATTCACCTTACATGTTATTTCAATTTAACAAGGGTGAAAATCATGTACATCCCCCAAGTTTATTGTGAAAATCAAACTCATCCTCCAACTTAGAACAATTATCATGTTCACCCTTTCCTCCTACACATTGTCTATTTACCCTTGACATTTTCAACTCTCCATATATGTAATACCTTTTTTATATTATTTAGATATTTTTTAGTGCATGTATTTATTCATAAGTTAAAATACTAAATCTTATTATATAATATAATTTAAGTTCGCTAACATTATAAATAAGATAATTATATTATGAATTCATTACAAAATGTATTACTACTTTATTATTCTACAATAAATTACTTATATAAAAAGATGATTGAGAGTCAATTATATAGGGAGTCATTTGGTGGAATGAATGAAAAATGAAATTAAAATAATTTAGTACAACTCAATTAGAATATATTTTTTTTACTGTCTCATACTTTAAGTATAAAATTATTCAACTTGAAATATAGAGCTAAAATCTGATTACTTGATTTTAAATTCCTAAATGTTAGACAGAATAATCATAATAACACAATTGTGAGCTCACTCAAAATTATAAATTCCATCAGATTTTAAATTTATTAATACCTTTTCCCTCATGAACACTTCTTGTATTTATATTTCTAAAATTATTATATAGATTATAAAAGAATAAAATGAGTTTTTTCTCTTAGATTTTGTCTTTGTTTCATTCACAATCAATTAAAATAATATACAAAATAAGAATTTTTTTGGTTGGTCAAGTTGTTAAAGATTTGGCATATTATATGAGAATACGTACTAAGATTAACTATACGATGTTATAGTGAAGTATACTATATCTAACAGTTTTTATTTTATACGCTAATTGGTATTAGATATATCATTCACAATTGTTCTATATAATGTCTTTTTACATCTCAAATTTTTGTCTATAAAATACTACAGAGCTCTCTAAAAGAGAAAATTCTCCTTAAAGGAAGAAGACCATAATCGTTTGGTTTCCGGTTGTAACGACCCGACCGGTCGTTTTGAGCTCTAGCGCGCCGTTCAGCAGTTTGAGGCCATGAGCAGCTTCAATTCAGACATTATGACTTGTACGCGTGGTCGGAATTAAATTTCGGGAAGTTCGGAGTTGACTTGGAGAGGAAATTCTCATCTCGGAAGCTTTAAGTTGAAAGAATTAACTAGGATTGGATTTTTGAGTAAACGACATCGGAATCGGGATTCGAAGGTTCCAGCAGGTTTGTATGATGATTTCGGACTTGGGCGTATGCCCGGATCGGGTTTTGGGTGACCCGGGAGCGTTTTGGCGCCTATTGTGGAAGTTAGCATTTTTTGAAGAAATTTCATAAGTTTGGGTTGAAGTGCATTTCAGTGTTATCGATGTCCGTTTGGGGTTCCGACTCTGGGAGTAGCTCCGTATGGTGATTCTGGAGTTGGGAGCACGATCGAAGTGAATTCGGATGTCCGTGGAGCATTTTGGAGCCATTTGGCTAAAGATAGAAATTTGAAGGTTTTTGAGAAGTTTGACCGGAGGTGGACTTTTTGATATCGGGTTCGGAATCCGATTCCGAAAGTTGGAGTAGGTCCGTAATGTCGAATATTACTTGTTTGCAAAATCTGAAGTCAATCGGACGTGATTCGATAGGTTTAAACATCGAAAGTAGAAGTTTGAAATTCTAAAGTTCATAAAGCTTGGATTGGAGGTCGATTCTTGGTTTTAGCGTTGTTTGATATGATTTGAGGCCTCGGGGCAAGTCCGTAATGTGTTTTGGGACTAGTTGGTATGATTGGTTGGGGTCCCGGGGGCCTCGGGTGGATTCCGGGTGGTTAACGGATTGAAAATGAAATTTTTGAAAGGCTGAAGCTGCTCGTTGCTGGTATAACCGCACCTGCGAGACTTGGGCCGCAGGTGCGGAGCCGCAGAAGCGGCCAGAGGAGCCGCAGATGCGGTTTGGATCAGAAGGGAAGGGACCGCAGATGCGGTCAAGCAGCCGCAGAAGCGGGACCGCACCTGCGGCGGTCTAATCGCAGAAGCGGAAAGGGGCAGGCCAGGTTGGGACCGCAGATGCGGTCGTTTTGTCGCAGATGCGTGACCGCACCTGCGGAAGAGGAAGCGCAGATGCGCAAGCGGAGCCAAGGAGGAGGATCGCAGATGCGGATGGAAGCCCGCACCTGCGGAACCGCAGAAGCGGTCAAGTGACCGCAGGGCGGAACTGCTGGAGACAGAATGGTTCTTTTAAAAATCGGGGGTTTGGTCATTTTCCCCAATTTTTCATTGGGTGTGGGCGATTTTGGAGAGCTTCAAGTGGGATTTTTCATCATTAACGACGAGGTAAGCTAATTCCACCTATCTTGAGTTAAATATATCGATTATGTATGGATTTTAGCATGTAAATTGGTAGAAATTTGGGGGTTTGAGGAAAACATAGAAAATTGATATTCTTGGAATTTGACCACGATTTTGGGTATGAAATTGAGATAAATTATATATTTGAGTTCATGGAGTCATGGGTAAGCTTAATCTTCGAAAATTTTCAGAATCCGGGCACGTGGGCCCGAGGGCGATTTTGTCAACTTTTCGATTGGGGTTAGGAATTGTTATAAATTGGATTAATATGAGTAGTTTATCGTATATTATTGAATTTGCATAATCATTGGCCAGTTTTGGAGTATTTGGCATCGATTCAAGTCTTCGGAAGGGCGTGGAATGCCGGTTATGGATCTTCGGAGCGAGGTGTGTCTCCTTTCTAACCTTTTAAGAGGAAATTGTCCCCATAGGTGAAATAATTGGTTATGTGCTCCTATTTGTGGGGGCTACGTACGCACGAGGTGATGAGAGTCCGTGCGTAGCTACTAATATGTGTATGTCCGGGTAGTCTAGGACCCAAAAGCATGCTATACTTGGAATATCTGTGATCTTATTGACAATTGAATTTCTTAAATCTTATCGAATTGGTAAACGAATTTCTAAGAGGATTAAACTTCTTTTTCTTAAATCATTAAAGAGAATTGACTTTTATTTGGATAAATGTTCCCCGATAAATTCTTAATTTTGCTGTTTGAGCATGTATTCCTATGTGTACCTGCGTCGCATGTATGATTCGCGAGCAGGGTGATTGCTTAGTTAAATTGGACCGCGTCGCATGTGTGACGAGCGGGGTAATAGATGTATCTATGGTTCGTGTCGCTCGACCCTCGGTAGTGCACATTTTACATTTATGTTGGATCGGGCCGTACGACCTCGGCATGAGTTGCGCATGCTTGTATTCCTTGCCGTGAGATTTATTGATATTGCTATCTGCTCTCCCCGGTTTGAGATAATTGTTAATTAATGGATTATGAATCCGGAGACTTTAAATAAAAAGGAATTTTTACCTGTTTAGTGACTCATTTAAATTTTACCGTTGTTCTTAATAAATCCATGAGTCATCGCATTAATAATATTATTACTGGACCTTTAGTAAGTGTCGAAGTTGCCATCTCGTCTCTACTTCTTCGAGATTAGGTGGGATACTTACTGAGTACACGTTGTTTTTGTACTCATACTACACTTCTGTGCTTTTTTGTTGCACAGGCACATGCACCTCTAGTGGCCTAGTGGACGTAGCAGCATGGTTGACACGGAGACTAGGTGAGCTGTATTTCCTCGAGGCGACCCGCAGCTAGTATAGTCCCTCTCAGGATTTCATTTATTTTCTATCCAATTGTATTCCGGACAGCTGTTGTACTTTATTCGATTTTTATTAGAAATTGCTCATGCACTCGTAACACCGGGTTCTGGGATGGTTATAAAGTATTTTGTATTAATTGCTTATTATTTAATTTGACTTGAAGCAATCATCTTCTTAAATTGGTAGATTTGAAGAAAAATCATAGTTTTCAAGAGTATTAAAATGAGAATTTAATTAAGCATTTTGGGTTGGCTTGCCTGACAGTGGTGTCCGGCGCCATCACGACCCTTAGTGAATTTTGGGTCGTGACAACATGGTATCAGAGCACTAGGTTCCTAGGGTCTCACGAGTCATGAGCAAGTCTAGTAGAGTCTCGTGGATCGGTACGGAGACGCCTGTACTTATCCTCGGGAGGCTGCAGGACTGTTAGGAGTACTTCCCTTCTTGATTTTCCATCGTGCGATTTGATCCCTGGAGGCTAAGCCTTTAATTCCTTCCTATTCAATCTTATGCGACGCGAACCGCTTGTTATGAATCGAGGATTGAAGAATTGTAATGGTACTACCGATGCAGTGCAGGGTGTTTCTCCCTGCATAGTTGTCTGAGCTATTATCGTCGCCTTGTGGAAGGATATTCTGCTGTTTCAGCTCAGTAGCGGTACTTCTAAGAGCTCTGAGGCTAGGCACAAATTGCCATGATGCTATGAACGATTGTTCCGCGGTATTGATATGATGGTAGGACGTTTGCCTACGTGTCGGGGCAGTGAATGACTTGAAGGGAGAT